CCCCCGCCAAGAGGCAGCACCGAAGACGCCGCCTGCGTTGCAGCTACGCTGGGCCTCAGCCTGAAACCCTCCATTTGCAGCCTCAGGCCCAGACAGAGCAGTGGGGTGGGGTCCGCAGGGGGCTGGCAGCTGGATCCCCAGCCACACCCCCCCCCTCAGCTCAGGCAGAGCCCGGCCTGCATGGGGCACCACTGCCCCTCCCCCTAGCCAGAGAGATGGGTCACAGGCACCCAGGGCCTCTCCCCCGCCAGTGGATCCAGCCCCCCTGCAGCAATAACTTTCCTCTGCGAAGGGGGGTGCTACTCACTAAGGAGAGCTGGGAACAGAACCCAGGGTCCTGGCTCCCAGCCCCCGCCCCAAGTCCACTCTCTTCCCAGAGCTGGGGACAGGCCTCCTGGAGCTCACACCTTCCCCTGCTCTGACCACTAGCTACCACTCCTCCACCAGAGCAGGGAACAGAACCCAGGTGTCCTGGCTCTACCGCCATCCCGCTGTAAGCCCAGCTCGGGGAGGCCAGTGGGGGCTAGTCGCTGGAGCAGCAGGGCTGGGGAGAAGGGCACCTGGTTCTGGGAGGGGAGTGGGGGCTAATGGTTGGAGCAGCAGGGCTGGGGGGAGGGGCACCTGGTTCTGGGAGGGGAGTGGGGGCTAATGGTTGGAGCAGCAGGGCTGGGGGGAGGGGCACCTGGTTCTGGGAGGGGAGTGGGGGCTAATGGTTGGAGCAGCAGGGCTGGGGGGAGGGGCACCTGGTTCTGGGAGGGGAGTGGGGGCTAATGGTTGGAGCAGCAGGGCTGGGGGGAGGGGCACCTGGTTCTGGGAGGGGAGTGGGGGCTAATGGTTGGAGCAGCAGGGCTGGGGGGAGGGGCACCTGGTTCTGGGAGGGGAGTGGGGGCTAATGGTTGGAGCAGCAGGGCTGGGGGGAGGGGCACCTGGTTCTGGGAGGGGAGTGGGGGCTAATGGTTGGAGCAGCAGGGCTGGGGGGAGGGGCACCTGGTTCTGGGAGGGGAGTGGGGGCTAATGGTTGGAGCAGCAGGGCTGGGGGGAGGGGCACCTGGTTCTGGGAGGGGAGTGGGGGCTAATGGTTGGAGCAGCAGGGCTGGGGGGAGGGGCACCTGGTTCTGGGAGGGGAGTGGGGGCTAATGGTTGGAGCAGCAGGGCTGGGGGGAGGGGCACCTGGTTCTGGGAGGGGAGTGGGGGCTAATGGTTGGAGCAGCAGGGCTGGGGGGAGGGGCACCTGGTTCTGGGAGGGGAGTGGGGGCTAATGGTTGGAGCAGCAGAGCTGGGGGG